TTGCTTCTGCGACAAAAGGCCTATAATCGGCCTGTACCACCTCTGCTTCGCCTTTGTTATTCCAAAAGATTAGGCATTGATGGAGTGATGAGGGTATACAGCGACTTCCGTGTATCCAATCTCTTCCTAGTAGCACATTGTAACTAGTAGGACATCTATTACAAAGAAGACAGTGGTCCTAGTAGTCGTCCCTATAGTTATGTCCAATGGTATAACTCCCTTAGCTGAAGTTGCTCCTCCATTGAAGCTAGTGAGGATGACTTCTGTAGGAATCATGTCACCCTCTGTCTTTGCAAACTTCCTCATCATCCTAGATGGAATGGTGTTTATAGCTGCTCCATTGTCGACAAGCACTTTTGCCACTGGGATGCCGTTAACTAGAGCTTTAACGTACAACGGCCTCAAGTGTTTAGTCAATTTCATGGCTGGCCGTTTAAAAATAACATTTTCGGTAGCCTCTATTTCTACTTCCTGCTTGTTTTCTATCGAATTATCCCCCTGTGATAAGTCGACGTGCAGTATATCGCGTTGATCCTCTGTCTTCTGAATTTCCTTCTTACTTTTTTCTAATGCTTCCTCATCAGTTATCCAACCTGTAGGAGGGGGCATTATTCTTGGAGGTGACCCATACTTTTCAGAACAAGGCACTCTCTTCTTCCTTTTGGGTGTCCCGTACAATACGTAGAAATCGAAAGGACGCCCGATGGTTCTCCCAACAAATCTACTTCGCGAACTCCCTCTCGATGTAGTTGCTTCAACAGAGTATTGCGCGATACTCCTCTCTTTCTCCTTTCTGCTTCTAGGTCAATTTCTTCTTCAATGTCTGTCATCCCATCGTCTTCTTCATCGTTGTAGGCCTCTCTAGAAGTCTGGCCTTCTTCACATACCAGCACGCAAGCTTCTCCTTCGTTGTCCTCCCTCTCTTCTTCTTTTTCTTTATTCTTGAATTCATTGGCCAGTAAGTAATTATTGGCCACGACAGGAGGTAACGTACCAAACTGGATGGTAAGGGGCTGATCTTGATCTTCTCCATCCCTTCTGTCTCGCTCTTACTTTGATCTCCCAGAAGAAGTTTCTGGCAATTCCTTCATTGATTCATCTGTACTGGTCTCTTCACTATTTTTGAGGACATTTTGATTGGCTACCTAGAGTAGTTTAGGCGCTTTAGGATGTGGCACTCCCTGTTGCTGTCTCATCATCCGTCCATAATTTCGTTGGAAATATCTTTGTTGGGTTCTAGTCATCTCGTCGAAGGGTATTGCCCTTCCTGCATTATACTGGAATGAATGCCATACATTTGGCCGGCAAGGTTGTGGCCTGAATGTTCTTCCATTATCTGTTGGCCTGAATTGCCTCTCAAAAGGCGGTCCTCTATAGAATGATGTACCTCGCCCTCTACCAGGCTGAGTGTTTGGGAAGAAAGTAGGGCGATGGGAATACTGCCATGTCCCCGGTTTCTCCGTATTTCCATTCACTTCTCTTTTACACCTTGCACATAGGACGTCTTCATCCTTTTTTGGTTCTTTCTCCTTGATTCATTCAAAGACGCTGGGATGTGGTTTAGGATCCTCTTCTCCATCATCTACGACCAACTTGAATTTTGGCAACTTGTTTTTGAATCCAGATGTCACCATGTTTACTCCAAGTGGCTGTGGGAAAGGATTTTCGTCCACTGCCATCTTCTTCTTATCATCGAACATAATTCGTCCTGATTCAATGGCATCCTACAATACATGGCGAAAAACCAAGCAATTGTTAGTCAAATGTGACCATGCATTATGCCACTTACAATATTTTTTACCTTTAATTTGTTCAGGGTTTGGCAATTTGTGCTTATCGCTAAATTCTATCTGCTTATCCCTATATAATTTATCAAATATAAGGTCAGCTTTGGTTACGTCAAACGAGAACGTTCTAGCCTTTATGTTTCCATCTTTTATGGGCTCATCTTTCCCCGATGGTCTAGGCTTGGCCATTATGGGACAAGTATATGCATCTCCTTTGACCAATTCGGCCAAACACATTTCGGCCTGGTCATATGACTCGTCACTGATGGTATGAACATCAAAATTTGAGTCTTTGTAATAAGTCCCTTTACTAGAATTTTTCATCTGTTCTTCCTCTCTTATCAGTCATTTATACCTAATAACATTCGCACTTAACTGGAAGAGGTCAGGAAATTCCTTATCTTGGAATTTCTTCTTTAAATCAAAGCTCAAGTAGCCCTGAGCGATTTTGACAAATTCTTTTTCGGGTAGAGGTACAAAACACTTGCTTCTTGCTGTCTTGAACCTTTGGAGAAAACTTTCTGCCCATTCGTTTGGCATTTGACGTAGATTTGCCAAATCAGCCAAAGTGACTTCAGACTCAGTTTTATAAAATTGAGCATGAAATAACTGTTCCAATTGTTGCCATGTTTGAACAGAATTTGCTGGCAAGTTGATGAACCAGGAGCAAGCTACTCCTGTTAATGAACTAGGGAAAAGCCTCATTTTATGGTAATCGGTTACATCACCACTTTGCAATGTGAATCGCCCTATGTGTTATAGAGTAGACACCTCTCCTAAACCGGTAAACAGTGAAAATTCTGGCACCTTATACCCTCTAGGCCATGGGTATGCTTGGTCTACCCAATCAGGGTATGGCTTTGTGTAAGTCGGCCTAATGACGGGACGCACCCCAAAAGCCATCTGATCCTGCACGATTTCCATAATCTGATTCCTCAACAGGACGTTGGGGTCATATGAAATTCCTACAGGTTGGTTAACCGGTTGATTTGCATGAGGCCTGATGTTTGGTCCTTGATTGGCAACAAAATTACCATGATTAGGGCCATTACCATTAGCCTGAACATCTATTCCCTCATTAACACGTGGAATATTCTGTCCATTGTTTAGGACATTATCTCTTATGTTTGGATTACCCCCCAAGTTAGGCATACCACTACCATTGTTCTGATTTGGCACTATAGTACCCCCTTGGTTTGAAGTAGAGGGACCAGAAAGCGGTTCTACCCCTTGATTCGGATTTAGGACCGAGGGATTATGTCCCACAATTGTCCTAGTTTGAAAGTGATTTGTAAGAGGTATAACCGGTTGACATATTTGGCCTACTAACTTATTCATTGTTTCGTTCAAAGTATTTTGTTGTTTCGTCATATTGTCATAGTGTGCATTCCCATTTTGGGTAAATCTTTCCATATTATGAATACTTCGAAGATTTA